AGGGAAGACAGTTCTATTTTCAGACAGTATGGGAATTATAAAGCAGTTGATGAAATCCTTAGAGAAACAGAAAACAAGTGTTGGTGAGGATTAAAGAAACTGGCGTAACGTAGTAAAAATGTTGCAGAGGGCCAACTTGTGGCTTGGTGGTTAAGGTAGTTGTATCCTACATGGCTGACCACATAATTTGAGTCCCAGACCCAGTGGCCAAGTATGTGTGCATACATCCTCAAATCCCAAAGGAATGGAGAAATGAGAAAGAAGGAATTGAAGTGTGATCATGCCACATGGGGGTGCTTTCTTGCTTTCCACTCTCTCTGTCTCTGGCGAGAGAGACAAAATGTAAAACAAAAACAAAAACACAAAACCCCTTGCAAATGCTATGGAAAACAATATGGCTGTTCACCAAAAGATTAAAAATAAAACCACCATGGAATCCACCAATCCTACTTCTGCGTATACATACAAAAGAATTCAAAGAATGATTAAGGAGATGTTTGCCTACCCATGTTCATTATAGCATTACTCATAATAACCAAGAGGTGGAAACAATGCAAATGTCTATCAATGGATAAAGAAAATGTAGTATATGCATATGAAGAAATATTATGAAGCCTTAAAAAGGAAGGAAATCAGAGGACTGAGTGATAATACAACAGAAATGTAACATTTGGTAAGGTTGACCCCAATCAGAAAGCTCCTTAATGTCCAGAGACCTTCCTGAACATGTAAAGCATGCATTATGACCACAATCTGGAGCTGGCTGAGGCTTGGTGTGAATAGTGGCATGAAGATCCTACTAGGGGTACCTGTCTCTTTATCTCTTTCTCAATTTTTCTGTCTCTCTTACTCATGGAAAAGATAAACTTTAAAAAGTTAATTAAAAAAAGAAGAATGGGGTCAGCAGGTGGCATGATGGTTAAAGTGCTGGACTACCACATGGCTGACTGTGGTTCGAGTTTTGGACCTGGTGGCTTGCTTTCTTACTTCCTCTTTCTATCTTTCACTTTCTCTCTCTCTCTGATCAAATTAAAAGATAAATAATAACAACAAATAAAATTAAATAAATTAATAAATCTTAAAAAAGGATGTTCTGTTATATACTGTAGTATGGGTGACCCTTGAGGATATGCTAAGTGAAATAAGCCAGTCATGAATGGATGCTCTATGATTCCACTCATATGAGGTATTTCACGTAGTCAGAATCATAAAAACAAAGTAGAAAGGTGGTTGCCAAGAAGAGGAATTAATATTTAATGAGCATAGAGTTTCAACTTTGTGAGGTGAAAAATTTCTAGACATCTATGGTACAACCGTGTGAATGTACTCAATACTATTGGACTATATATGTGTAGTTTAAAATCTTTAAGATGGTAAAATAAATGTTGTGTGTTTGTAACCACAATTAAGAAAAAAAATAAAAGAAAAAGAAGAAACCCTTGGACAAGTTCCCTTGTAAAATTAGTAATTCTTTTATAATGTGAATAATTACCTTCTTGGGCTTTCTGTAGATGTATCTTCAAATTTTTGTAAATTGGATTTTCTTAAAGCAAGACTTGCCTGTAATTTGGGTGTGGGGGGTTTGAACAGGCAGTCATGGTCTCTCTGGATCTCCTGACTTTAGTCCACAATTTCCTTCTCACTGCATATGGTATAATATTGTAAAATTGGCTAATAAGAAGCTTCATATACAGAAGAGGTTCCCACTAACAAGTCTCCAGAGGCAAACAATTTGGTGGAATTAAAGCCAGAGGGTGTGGATATTGTGACCTTGATGCAATTTCTATATACAATATACTGAAAATATATATTTGGTCTTTGTGGATAGTTCCTAAAGTAGAGCTACTAAAAATCTTGGAATTTCCTGAGTGAAAAGAATGGCTTTTGAGGGAACCAGCAGTTAGCGTAATGGCTATGTCGCTGGACTCCCACGTAGTCGACCGCGGTTCGCGTCCCGGACCCGGTGGCTTAAAACTCACGCCACCCAAGATCCCGAGAGGAGAATGGAGGAGAAGGGATTGTGGCGTGACCATCCCCTCTGAAGGGTGATTTCTCGCTTTCTGTCTCTATGTCTCTCTCTGTCTGGCGAGCGCACGCCCCCTATAGTGAAAACCTCTCAAAAAAAAAAAAAAAGAATGGCTTTTGATATTCATAATAAGCCCCTTTGGAATACACCTGACTGAATGCTAATAAGGTAACTTTAGAAGAATGGGAGCTGGCTCTGATGAGATGGCTCTACAGGTTAGTGCCAGAGCACTAGAGGGTTGGAATTTTTAATCCCATCCCCAGACCTCTGGGAAGGGGAGAGGGACTGAAGACTGAAGTCAATTCACAACAGCCATTGATTTAATCATGATTATCTAATGAAGCCTCCACAAAAACTCCCTAAGCAATGGGGTTTAGAGAGTTTCTAGATTGAATACATCGGAAGTTCTGGGAGGGTGGAATACCTAGAGACACCATGAAGGCTTCATGCTACTTATCCCCTCAACACCTGGCCCAATGCATCTCTTCCTTTTGATTTCTTCTTAGTTGTGTCCTTTGTAAAAACACTGTAATAATAAGTGTTTTCCTGAGTTCTGTGAGTTTTCCTGGCAAATAAACTGAGGAGAGGGTCGTGGGAATTCCTGACTTACAGCTGGCCAGTCAGAAGTACAGAAAACTGAGACTTGTGATTGGCATTTGAAGTCTTGTGGACCAAGTCTACAGTTTGTGGAATCTGATGCTAATTTACCAGATTGTGTCAGACTGGAATTAAACCGTAAGGTACCTAGTTGGTGTCAGAACTGGAGAATTGGGTGGTGTCAAGAAAATACCACAGATTATATTTCCTTCCTTGATAAAGAATAATTCAGTTTGAATTTCTTCCCTCTTGAGTGAGCTAAGCCCAGGCAGAAGATGCCACCTCTGGAGGGAGGATAGGGAGCTCAGCCTAGCCTGACAGTGAGGAGGTGAATGGCAGCCAGGATGACCAAACAGGAGGCTAGTGTCTGGCCCATTACACGTCACACTGACCTGACCAGTTATGTGGTCGCAGCCAGTGCAAGCTCTTCCTGCCTGTCGATGCCTCATTCCTACCTGTGATGCTCAGAGAGAAGCCATGAGCCCTGAAAAACACCGTATTGCTCTGTGATGTCACCTCTGGAATGTTCTGAGTGTTTTGGTGACCAACTTCTGCATAGAACCTATACTTGGCATCTCACATTGGTATGACTTTTTATTTCACATGGAAATAACAATCTTAGACAAGGAAATAGTTACCTGTGCTTCAAAGACTTTGGAATGCCTTTACGTAACTATAATGTCCATCTTAATTTCTGTTCAGAAATTGATAAAGCATCTCATCAGAACACCATCTAAGTTTTTTTTTTTCCAGATTCAGATAGTCATAATGTACATAATTAACAAGAGAGGAATAAAAGAGTAGAAAATCCTGTGTTTTTCAGGTGAGCAACCAACACCCAGAAAATGGGTTAGGAAGCAGAAATCTTCTTGTTTTCTCTTTCTACAGCACTCAAGGCCAAACTTTACAAGAAAAGAAACCAGATCTGAAAGCCTAGAAATTCCAATCAATGTGGTTCCGCCTCAGGTAGGGATAATCAATCACAGAAGGATGTAACCTATCAATTTTAGCCAGAGAAAACCACCTCTTTCAAAACTCTAGTAAGATGTCATAGACTAATCAGGGACCCACCCCTCATATTCTAGTTGTGAGTAGTTACCCATCACCTGTGTGCCTGGGGGAGGCCACAGCCTCTCTGGGCCTTGGATTCATCTTACCTAAAGTAAGGAGTCTGTATTAGATGGTCTAGTAAGACCTTTCAGCCCTAATGTTTCAAGTTTCTATGATACTTTGAAATACTCCAGGTTTCTCAAAATGAGATTTTTTTGTGTGTATTGCTTGCTGTTATGCAATCACTCTGGATTTCTAGAGGATGAATTAGAACTGGGACTTGGAATCAAACACATAAAAATGAATTCCTAAGAAAAAAATCTAGTACATGAACCAAGGGATAAGAGTAGTTTGGTGATGTTAAGAGAATAAAGTCCTACTGGAAACCAAAGGTAGGGCATAAGGGGGATTAGCATGTTTTTTTCTAAGGCAAATAAATTGGTGAAGTCCTACAGGCTTGAGATTCTTGGGAATCATCCTGCAAGCAGCCGTTGCCTTGGTGGGTCCTTTTGACTGGATTGTTTCTACTGCTACTATGTCACAAAGGGCTGGTTTTGCTTTCTCCAGAGTCACCTAAGGTCCCATTGGAAGACCATGGCCATGCAACCAGAGGGCTTGAAATGTAGGATGGAGGAATCCAGTTCACAGGTAACTAAGTAAAAGCTCTGTGCAGGGATGTGTAGGAGAAGGATGGATCACCAGTGGGCATTCTGTAGGTGTAATGTAAACAAATAGGCAAATGTGTTC